GGGGGGGGGGGGGGTGGCAGTGAGGCGGTGCGTTGTCACTGCCGAGCGGACGGGGCAAGCGGGTTGGGGCGGGGCAAAGCGGGACGGCCGGTTGGGCGGGCGGGCAGGCGAGTGGGCGAGCTGCTTGCCAGCACCGGCTGCCTGCGGTAGTGGCGGGGGTGGGAGGAAGTGAGAGGGTTGAGGTAAGCACTTGACCTCCCTCCCTCCCTCCCCCCCCCCCCTCTCCCCTTTCCCCTCCCACTCACCAACCCCTCTTCCCTCTGCACCTTGCCTTGGGTTGCTATGGCTGTGGCTGTGGCAGACGGCGGTCGGCTGGAGGTCTCCCACTCGCGGCGGGCGCTGCCTCTAGGGGCGCTTGTGGAGTACCAGGGTGTCCGGGGTACGTCCACCACGACCGAGGAGAAAGGGGAAACAGACAGCAGGCAGCAGATAGCGTGTGTGTGTGTGTGTGTGTGTGTGTGTGTGTGTGTGTGTGGCAGGGAGGGGGTACTCACTGGTCTCGGCTGTGGTCATACAGGTCATGTCCGCTTTGTGGGAAGGACCGACTTTGCCCCGGGCCTCTTTGTCGGCGTCGAGCTGAACAAGCCGTGTACGTGATTGGAGGAAGGATGGGAGGGGAGAGGGGGGAGGGGGGGAGGGGGAGGTGTGGATGGTGCTCGGATGGTGCTGTGGGATGGTGACTTATGATGGCGATGTCGTGGGTGCTGATCGGGATCTGGTTGGCGGTTGCGGTTGGTGGCGATGGCGGGTGATGCTGGCGGCGGCTACAGACGGTGACAACAACGGCACGGTAGACAGGATCCAGTACTTTGTGTGCAGAGAGCGATACGGGGTGATGGTCAAGCCGTCCGAGGTCCGACGGGTAGACATCAAGCGGTACAAGAAGCGGGCGATTGTGCGGCATAGTCAGTCAGGGACAAAAGCCGTGGAGAGCGTCGACATCCCGCCCAAGATCCAGCGCGGGCTGCGGAAGGCCGAGGCGGAGCGGCGGCGGGAGCGGCGGGCGCGCAAGCGGCGCGAGCGGCAGTATGCGCCGCAGATCCGGTACTACGACATTCCACCGGTGCCGGCGCCAGAATCGCCACAGGAGCTGATTCAGACGTACTCGCCCGAATACCGGCGGCGGCTGGAGCGGACGATCCAGATGCGTGATGCGAGCAGGTCCGGAGGTCTTGACGACGCGAGTGGGTCGTGGGGCGAGGGCGGGAGCGAAGCTGGCGAGGCCTTCCCGCTCCGGTCGAAGCATCGGCTCCCAGTCCTGCACGCCAAGTACGACCGCTCGCTCCAGCCGTGCAAGTTTCTTTGGGCGATCCGGTGGAGACCAACTCGACGCGGGTGCTGTTCCAGTACGAGGGTGCGGTCAAGTATGTTGGGTACGTGGAGCAGCAGCGCGGGCTGTGGGTCGGGGTGGAGCTCACCGAAGCGCTGCCGTCGGGCATCAAGCAGCTGCCCAACTTTATCGGCCCTCACAACGGGAGCTGGGACGGAGCGTTTTACTTTGAGGCCAAGCCGCTGACCGGGATCTTCATCCGGCCGTCGGCGCTTGTCCCGCTTGACCCACACATCATCGCCATCCGCGAGGCCGAAGCCCGACAGGAGCGACTCTCCGAGTCGAAGCGCGAGCTGCTGGCGCGGCACGGGCAGCAGACGCCGCGGAGCCGGCCATCACGCAACGGCTCGGCGCGGTCGATGCGCAACATCTCGGGCCAGCAAGGCAAGCCAATGAGCTCGCAGATTGCACGGTTGAAGGAGCGGGTCGAGACGATCATCGGCTCGATTGACTACGGCGACGACGGTCCGGGTGAGACGGTGGCCATCTTGCCGATGCAGGCGTCGCTGGCGGCGAGTGGTGCGTCGGGCGTGGTGTCAGGCGAGGGCTCGTATTCGTACTCGTACGACGACGACTACGGGTACTCGTACGACGACGGCGACATGTACTAACAGCCACTGCTTCAGCACGTTACGAGAGCGCCTGCCGCTTGCGGACGTTGGCGGCAAAGGTGAGCTTCATAAACGAGAGGACTGACTTGGCCGAGACAAGTGCCATGCGGAGGAGCGAGTCGAGGGTGGCAGGAGCGAGCTCGCCGTACGTCCGCACAAACTCTACCGCCGGAGTCGCGATCGCAGCGTCGGAGACACCGATGGTGACGACAACGGCCGACTCGACTTCGACGTTGTCGAGGTGAACAACATCGGCGTCAGCGTCGGCATCGGCGGCGCGCCGGGCGGCGACGGCGTCCTTGAACGAGTGCGACGAGATGGTGGCGGCGTGCGAGGCCGTCGGATCCGACGGCGGCGGACGGCAGCCGATGGGAGGCTCTCGCACGTCCGCGGATCAAGCAGTACGAGTGAGCGGCGAGCGGCGGTGCGGGCGTCGTCGTCGACCTCGACGGCACTGTCGCCATCAGGACCGGGCTTTGCTGCCGGGACGACTGAGAGGTAGGCGATGGAGACTGACGCCATGAGGGCGTCATCTCAATGCCGGCATCGACCAGGGCCAGGACAGCAGCGTTGATGCAAGCCGAGAGCAGCGAGCCGTCATCGGCGATGGCCTGGAGGACGACATTGATGCCGGTGCGGGGATAGAGCGAGGTGAGAACAACGGAAGAGAGGGCCGAAGCGACATAAGTCTCCAGCTCGACGTGCTGCGGAGCAGTAGGACGACCAGCCTGCGGGCGAAAAGAGACGGAGATGACGGCATCGTTGACCTCCTCCTCGGAGGCGCGGACCGCCACCGGACCAAAGACGGCGGCGACGACCAGGGTGCCACCCGCCGAGTACTTGGCCGACCCGTCTGCGGCGTCCAGCAGCGACAGCTCGCATGCCAGCTTGCGAAGGTGATTGTACTCGCGTCCGTCGGTACGCACCACACTCTGTGTGTTGCTCATGGTGTGTGTGTGGGGGTGGGGGGGGGGTGGGGGTGGTGGGGTGGGGTGGGTGGAGGTGGGTGGGCGGGAGGTGGGAG